AACCTCTCACCTTGAAAGTCCAAAAAGTGTTTCAAATTACACCAAGCATCATGCACAATAAAATTAATTTTAAATTAATTTTTAAAAAGGTAAAGCAAACTTTCTTATTCCACAATTATTTAACAAGCTGTCCTACTATGAAGCACTGGGCAAACGGTAGATGAACCTCAAACAATGTAGGGTCCCATGATCATTTGGCAATCATTTTAATCACATGGATCACTTTGATATGGTGTAATATAAAAACTTGAATGGTGTTTTTCTTCATTTTTGTAGCTTAACAGTCCCTGGTAACTGTTTACTTTATTTGTATGAAAAAACAGCATCCTTGTTCACATGTCTAAGATCTCTATTGTGTTCCGAGGCCAAGAAAGATAAATTAATGAGAAAATTATGACACAAATGTCCTTTTTGTGGACCTATTCCTTTAAGTGATAGCCATCAACAATATTTACAATAGGATATGATGTAGAGGGAGCTCACCCTGCTAAAGTCCACAGTGCTGTTTTCCCTGCTGCCAGGGAATACGTTCATACGGCTTTCACTGGGTTTACTGTTCTCCAGGTTCCCCGGGGCCGACTGGGGGGACGCAAGAAGGCCTGTTGGGATGAGAAAAGACGAAAGTGGTAGAGGAAGGCAGTGGTTAGATGTACGTTTGTGACTCAAGGGAAGGTTAACTGCACACTCATTGTGTAGGTCACATGCTCTCTGGATAACATCACACTACAGTGTGTACATTCATGGACGCTATGCTGTAAGGTTGAATTTTAAACATTTAGAAAGTGATATTCCCAGAGGATTTGTTGGATAGACCTTTTTATGGAATGACAGGATGTGTTCATTTGAAGAGAGCATTAAAGTTAAACCATTAACTGAGGTATAACAAACTGTTCCTGGCTTCTGCGTGAGGATTTTAGCTTCACAGAGCACAGCGATCAAAAACCATTTCCCAATATCCTTAAAGAGGCACTGTAAAACTGTTTAGGCCTGAGATGACATTTCATGGAAACAAGCTCTCCTGCTATCTGAGCCTGCTTCTTGACGTCTAACAAACTTAAAAATAAAGGGAGCAAAAAGACCCTCCTTCTATGGTCTTCCCTGTAAACACACGGAACAGACAAATCAGTCATTGCAATTGTTTAATGTCAGCCACTAGAGCCTGGTCAGGTTTGCAAGCATGCAAGCTGCATGCCCTGCCAACGTGAACGCAGCAAAGTACAACATAGAGCGACCCTATGACATCACCCACTCCCATTTCAACAGGCTCAGTTTACACTTCTTGTATTCCAAGAGGCTGATGACATAAAGCATCACAAGCAGCTTTCTGCTCCTTAACATGACAATTTATTAGCACCTGTGAGGTACTACCACCATTCAGTGTGCTTTATTTGTGGTGATTTATTTTATTGACCTGGTTTCTGGTGTGCATGTGCCCCAATAGCTACAGCAGCAAGCTGTAGACCTTTAGCAAACCAAGACAGTAAAATTTTAAATCAAAATGAAGTACCCATAAGCTTGAACACTTTTAAAGCATAATTTGTGTGATCATGTATTTTGTATCTAATGCTAGAGATGCTAATTTAAATACTTTTTGAGGTCACTGTATAAATTGGCAGTGATTATGGCAACAGCTAAATAATAAACAGCAACAGCTAAATAATAAACATTCTAAAAAAAGCCCCTAGATCATTACAAAATATCTAAAAGAACACACCAATATCTGAACCACAGTATGAGCACTGCAGATGCTACGTATGTTTTGGATGTTCTGTGTACATGTGTATTCTCAAGGAAGGATAAAACAGTGCCAAGTCGAAATGTCTCATATGGACAGTTAAGCTCTCATGGAAACATCTGATGGATTGGTCATGGCGAAACTCAAAAAAAAACAAAACAAGTGGGGACACTGTGTGACACAAGAAGACATTCAAATACTGTTCAGGGTGACAGGGCAGTGTGTGAAAGACAGGTTTGGGAAAGAGACAGGAGAGAATGTGACAGACAATGTTGGAGGTACTGCATTGAAACTAGCATGCATAACCAGATTGTTTAGGATGTGTTATTTTTCTATTTATTCAAATATTTTTTCATGTATAACTCCAGGTTTTTAAATTGTAAATATAAAAAAATTAAAAAATAAATAAAAATGTTTGGGGGTCAGAAAGATTTTGTAAAGTGTTTGAAAGAAGTCTCTTATGTTCACCAAGGCTGCACTTATTTGATTAAATGCAGTAAAAACAGTAATATTGTGAAATATTATTAGAATTTAAATTATTCCAGTATGCAGTGTCTCTGAAGATCCTTCAGAAATAATTTTTTAGGAAACTGTGATACTTTTTTTTAGGATTCTTTGATGAATAGGAAGTCCAAAAGAACAGCAATTTTTTGAAGTACAATTTTTTTTTGTAAAATTTAAAAAGTCTTTAATGTCACATTTGATCAATTTAATGTAGCCTTGCTGAATTCAAAGTATTAATTTCTTCAAAAAAATCGTACTGACTGCAAACGTTTGAACAGTAGTGTATGTGCCATCATCTAAAATAATGTACTCAAAATGCCCATCGCTAATTAGGACACGATGTAGAGCATTATGTCTATTTAAAAATAAATAAATAAATAATGTAATTAGTGACTGTTTCCTTGGCTCAAACACTCGTGACAAATATAAAGAGTGAGAGGCTGAGCAAATGTATCATGCAGGTGACACATCATGCTGATGGGCTGGATATTTGCCTGACTGCGGTAGGGGCAAGAGCTGTGCCAGCCTGGCCGGGTCATGCGCCACCTGCTCTTCCTGAGTGGTGGAAAACCATGACTGCAGTTCCTCCTCCTCCTCCTCGGGTGGGAACACCACGACCTCTGGAATGTCCTCTCTCCATCCCCGTGCCACCAGCAGCTCGGGTCCCTGCTGAGAGGGTCCTGGGGAGCGGAGAGATGATGAAGCGTGGTGGGCAGTGGGGGGCGTGTTTTGAGGGGTGACGGAAGGGGAGGCATTGGGGGAGGAATTGGCACTCGGCAGAAGCTGGTTGAGAATGATGGAGGAACGGGAACCGCGGGACTCTCTGGAGGGACAGCGCGATCTGGGGGGAGTGGAGGTGGAGGAGGCACGTCTAAGGAGGGACAGACGGGAGGCTGAGAGACCCTCCCCTGATGAACCAGAGAAGGAGGTCAAAAAGGATGAGGGAAAAGTACGAAGAGAGGAAAAGAAAGTAAACAAACTGCAGATGGAATAAAACAACATTGACGAATAAAATAAAAGCAAATATGTTGAGATGAGAGAGCTGGGAGTGTTAGAATGAAGTGAGGAGGTGAGATGGTGGCAAGAACGGACAGCGCAAATCAGTCACATGATTCAACACCCAAAGACATGACCATCACACACTGATCGTTAACATTTTTAATTAATGTTGCTAGCTTGTTTTTGGTTGTAAACCATCACAGAACCCTCATTCAACTTTAAGAATCAGGGTTAAGCCTGTTTCACAGAGGTTTCTGAATGGAGCCTATTTTTGTAACACAACAACCTCTGAACCAAGCAGAAAACATGTTGAAAATGCTCAGTAAACATGTTTAATCAACACATTCTTTTTCTATACACATTTTTCTATGAAGCAAAATACAACAGTGCGATATACAGAAAAATGTTTTGCTTGGTTTGAAGAAAGTTACACATGCAGTGACCTAAACATGCAGCACTTTCTGTTCATCTGTAAATCTGTCTGAATCCAGATGATTCGAGCAGTTTAACGATAGATTTTGAGGTCTGAGAGTTCCAATCAACATAGATTAATCAGTTCAAAAATTTGGGATCATTATTTTAAAGGAGTCATGAACTGGCTTTTTGTATTATTTTATACTGTTGTCAGAGGTCCACTTATGACGTTTGCATGGTTTTTACATTCAAAAACATCAAAATCAATATGTAATAATAGACAATTTTCTACCCTGGTTTTGAGGCTGGATCATGGGCCGGTTTTTATGGGCGTGCCGTATTGAAGATTTGGAAGTAAACGCCCACTGCTATGATTGGATAATAGTTTTGCATAGTAAACTAACTTTCTGTGTGTCTGTTTAACAAGCTGCGTCCTTCATAGTTGGAGCCTTCTGTGACTTTGTTTCGACTTTGTTGTTATTTTTTTACTCACATAAGTGTGCTGCGCCATTCCTGCCAGATCCAACATAGACTGCACAACATTGCTTTTTAATCTCAGTCTCTCTGCAAATCCAGTGTCGACCAGTGTCTTGTTTACAAAGGAATCCGCGGTAAAATGGAGTGAACAGACGCTCAATGTTTTACTCACGTGAGCTGAAACTTCATTAAAAAAAAAAGTTCAACTACACATTCCTAATATTTGAATCCGAAAGAAGATTATGCAGCGACTGAGTTCTTCCACAACCAGGCACTGCACAATATTTTGCGATCTTCAACGGTATGTTTATTGCTTGGTTGCTTAGTTCCCTATTATGTCATGCGCGAATCAGTGGGCGGGGCTACAGAATTAGGCGTTGATGTTCTTCTGTGGAGGCGGTGTTTAACCTATCTATTACATCATAGGTAGGCACATTCCAGGAGCTGGCGTTTGCTGGGCCTGGTGTCAATAAAAGCTTTTATTTCAGTAACAAGGACTTATTCAGTTCTGAAACTTACAGGATATTCTTTTATTACGATGATCTCTTATATATCAAAAGCTCAAGTAAAAGTTGATTTCTCATTTCTTGACCCCTTTAAAGAATTGAAAATTAGCAAGGATGCATTCAATCATTTATTTAAGATATTTATGTTACAAATGATTTCTATTTCAAATAAATGTAGTTCTTTTGAACTTTCTATTCATCAAAACATTCTTAAAACCTAATCTTATTTCACAATATTACTGTTTCACTCTATTTTTGAGCAAATAAATGCAGACTTGGTGGAGCAAAAGAGACTTCGTTCAAAAACTGTTCTGTTATGCAGCAGGTTCACGCTATGCTTATGCGTATGGTGTGAAACAGGCCTTATGCACGCAATATCAACACCATTTAGCTCTTCCTTGAGGATGCTGTGTTGTGAGTAAAGACAGAAAATTCAACTAACACAGCACACAGAGATTAATTGAAATCAGTCAATGAAGCATCGTCAAATGTTGCTTTTAGCGCTGAAAGGAATGGAGCATCTATTCACATATACTCCCTGCCAGAGGTCTTTAATAACTGCTGGCCACAGACTCAAGGACCTTATGCACTCCTACTTTCCTTCATTTCTTGTTTTTGAGTGGGAACAGAGGACCAATAAGTGGTGGTTTTAATGGAATGTTATTCAAAAGTGATCTTTTGAGTAAATATTAGAAAGAAAAAGTCAAGCACAGCAAAAGCTCTCACCATTCCTCTCAAGCAAGTGCGGGTCTGAATGTTTCTTGCCTATGTCGGCGAAGGAGCGTACGAGCGGGATGCGATTGCTGAGTTTCTTCTCATTCTGGTGGTGATGTCTCTTCAGCATGGCATTCCGCACCTTCTCCCTCAAACTCTCATCCAACTGCTCAGAAGCCACCATGTTGTCTATTACCATGTCTGGGAACAGGTGGAGACATACATTTTTCAGACGTTCATTTTGTTCATGCTGAGATATCAGGGTTTATCTAACAGCCAAACATTACCTGCTATCTCCTCAATGGTGTTTGCTCTCATGTCCAGCATGACTGTGCCATTGAGAATGCAGCTCCGTAACTCAAACAGGCTGTGCAGGGAAAGCGTGGCTACGTAGGGTTTACTCCAGCGCTCTCCTCCATCCTCTACATCCTCCTCAAACTTCAACCACCTGCACCAAATAGGATTTGAGGTTGACCAAGTATTAAAACAAGTATTCGGACACGTTCTGGTGGTCAAACATTCAGGTTTTCCATAGTTTATATGATGAACTACACCTTGAGAGGAAATCACACAGGGAAACATCACACATAAAATTCATGAAACCAGCTGGTTTAGTTAAGTAATTGTGAATATGGCTACAAAAATTGTTTTTATACAATGTCTAGCATTATGTTGTCAGCAGATGCCACATGGTTTGATATTTTGTTATCAAATGTAATGACATTCAGACATTTTACAATGTGTCCAATTACTTTTTGGGGCCAATGTATACCAATATGTTTTCAGGACAAAAGAGGAAGTCCGTGTCTAGAGAACAGGGTGGCCACTGGTTAATGTAATAGGACATCTAAAATATAATATAACATTTAAAATGTTAGCAAATTAGACAAACATAAAATTTCTGAATTTAAATGCGTTTTACATCACATTCATACTCAAACAAAAAATACCAAATAACAAAAATACACATTATCCACTGACAACATTTTGGAACTGGTACACTTTTGTTCTTTTAATCAGTTAATGCAAATAATGTCAAAATGGTCCTTTATTATGGAGTGGTTTCATGCACTAAATTAATTAAATACATATGAAAATGAAATTATTAAATCCACCATGGAATGTTAATAAATAAAAGTACAATTAAATTTAAGAACAATTTACAGTTTATTTTGTTATGTAACATTAAAAAAGGACGTGACTTGAAATATGCCTTCAAATGAGAAAACTCATGTAATGCGAAATGAAAAACACCTTGAAATAAAATAAATCAGACAACATAAAACAAATCAATATTATCACAAAATAACTAAATACATAATTAAATATTTTAAATCAATAAATATAAGCCTAATGAAAGTGTTTCACACTTTATTTATTCATGCTTACATTGTACTTTTATTTATTGCAACATTCCATGATGTATTTAATAACATTCTGTATTTTTTTAATTAATTCAGTGTCGATGTTAAATCACTCCATTTTTGTCAGCTAAGTAATCATTTGTGGCAATATATATAGTATAGCGTACACACAAAAACACCCACTACACACATGAACATTCTCAGGCTTCATGTTGTTTCCTCACCTGGCCGTCTCCTTCCACTCATAAGCCTGTCCGTCGCGGAAGGACAGCTCATCGAGCTCAGTGAAGAGGTCATGTGGAATATGCTCCTCATCATCATCCTCAGTGCCGAGGATAAACTGGACCCTCTGTGAGGGAGTGTCTGCAGCCATGAGAGAGAAAAACAAAGCCAATGAGTCAAGATACTTAAAGCAAAACAGGAAATTATTACCATTTATTTATGAAAATTAGTCACATACAGACATTTTAGACAGTTATTCTTACCGTACACTGGCGATTCTCTCCCATCCTCTCGCTCGGACCCTCTGTCCTTCCTTTTCCGATGGTGCTTGTGACCACGGTGGCGATGTCTACGCCTGCTTTGTCTTCCTAAAGGAACATGTACGCCCACGTAAACTGCCCTGTGACCTGTAAAGAGAGAGGCTTTATTACACGGTCCTGCACTGCATGTAAGAGGAAGACCTTTTGAAGTGCATTATAGACAAGAAAAGGAAGAGATCAAATACAACATACAAACAGTGTTCCAGACACACAAGATGAATTATTAATTGTCTGAACTGTCTATCTCAGGACTAAGCATTTCCTGAGCCACATTTCAATGCACAAAAAGAAAAATGATGTTGACAGACATGAACTGAAAAATAAAATGCGCCATCCACTAATACTAAGAACATGTTTAAAATCTTATTGGTGTGTGTAAAGGCATACTATTTTGTCTAAATAACTTAGAAATAAAACACTAAATGAGTGCTACTCAACATTGGTATAATGGGTAGAAATTGTTAAGGAAATATACAATATTGAAGAATCAACATGGTATCGACATATCCACCCAGAACACTCTAGCATCATGGAAGCAGATTTTACATGGTTTTACAAAACTCCTAGAGCAAAAAGTGACACAAGTGCTCTTATGTTCCAGTACTAATATTCCAAACTTCTGCTGAACAACCCTCTTAAACTCCACAAAAAACAATCTGACACTGTGAACAAACTGTTCAAGAAATCCGGCTTGCTTTCAACAAACACATATACAGTATATGTGTTTATATATATGCCTAAATAACATCTTAACTCTCTCTGGTGTGCTTTTAGGAAAGCTTAAAAGTTCAATCTGCCACCCATGCTTGAGTTATTGTGTTGAAGGTAGACTTCTGGGAATGATGTGAACCAGGAAAGAAAATACCAAGCAATTTAAAGCTAACTTCATTCAGCTGGCTTGTAGTGTGAGGGTGGGACGTGTGCGAACGCATGTGTGGTCTGTAAACGCCTGCTGTGTCTACACCAATTTCACACGCTTGTCTGCGTAGAGAATGCAAGGGAGGCTGAGAGCCAAGTACACACTTTGTCAGTCACAACAGCTGTTGAAACATCTTGCAATTTTTTCAGACACACAGAGGAGATGAAATTGCATCACAAAAACAGCAAAGAACTTATCTCTTGTGCTTCAATCTTTAAGCAGTGCGGATACAAAGCAACACATTGTGAGCAATAAGGAATGGGGGGGGTGGAGGTGAGTCGACCAATACTAAAGCTTCCTCCCATATTATCTCAACACTCCCCTAAACACCAGCTACAAAACAACAGCCCTATGCAGAGCTGCATGTCTGTGAAACCCATCCTGGTCCTTACTAATTACAACTATCAGCCAAGGCACAGGAAAAACAAGAAAATTATAAAGATATCAAAGTGCATAAAGCTGTGGAGTTAAAACTGGCACTAAAATGACATGACTAAGTTATCTATGTCTGTTACGATAAGATCATTATTCATGTCTAACAGAAAGGCATGAACAAAGATAACAAAAGAATCCTAACTGAGTTCTATAACTTTAAGCAATATTTAAAAAAAAAAAAAAAGAAAAAGGAAAAGTCTGTCTTCATTTTCTCACAAAGGTAGATTTTAGGCAGAATGCTCATGCTGGTCCATCCATACAATGAAATTAAATGGGTAATTTAAATCTGTCAAGCTCCAAAAAAAGTAAATGAAAGTAGTCCATTCCAGGGTTTCCCATACGTTCACTTACTTGTGGCGGCCCGCCACAATATCAACACTGAACGCCACAAATAGATTTTCCAAAATGCTTTGACTTCGTTTGAATAAACATGAGCACTGCACATTTCAAAATCAAAACGCGGCACGGGTGTTTTAATATAAATGTATCTTTTTTGAAGGGAACCGATTGTCTTCAGAAAAGTTTTGATATCATTTTCACTTAATCTTTCCTATAATGCCTGATAAAGTAGCATTCATGAGCGCAGCGCTGTTTTGATTACAGCCGTTACCGGGGAAACCGCTGTTTCTGCCGCTCTTAAAGTGAGTAAAGAGAGTGAATTTGCACTTTCAATAAGCCCGTCTGCTGTTTTATATTTACATTATATACGTATATATTTCCCCCAGGGGAAGTGCCGCCACACAGAGTGTAAGTCTGTGGGAAACATTGTGCTATATTCAAAGTGTTCTGAAGCTGCATGATAGCTTTGTGTGAGGAACAGACCAAAATTTAAAACCATTCACAAAAAATACTGCTTTGAAAATCTGCCTGTCTGTCTGTTTCTGCTCATTGTTGTCCAATGAAACAATGTTTATATTAAAGACAATGAAAACAAATATAGTGAAAGTGACCAAGTAGGCTATGGGCTATTAAGTGCAAAAAAAGGGGCTAAAGTCACATTACATTGTAACATTACAATCTAAAAACAATGTTTTTTAAAGCAGAAGTTAAATTCACTAAACTAAAAATGAAAAGAAATAAAAACAAAAGCACAGATTAATTTAATTATATTTTGATTACCCCATTACAATAGTCAATTTACAGTTTACTGCTATCATAAAATACTTGTAGGTTTAAAATTCTACATATGGCACATTTATTGTTCAGCTACAAATATTTTAGCAAAATATATATTTTATAATATTTTTTATAAAATGTATATTTTTCATAATTATTGCGCTCATATTCTGTGGCGCTCGCTCCCTGAAGTCTGTGAAGTTTAGCAGAAAGTCACATGCAGAAGGCTCATGCTCTCCTGACAGCAAAATATAAATATTTCTATGACTCTCTAACACTTAAAGATGGAGAATATACCTGTGAAATGTAAGTTATGCGCTGAGAAAACAGCACATCTCAAACACATTAAACAAGTAGCGTCTCTGTCAGCAGCACATGTATCTGTCAGAGCATCTCGCTGGGCAAGCCACTTTAAACTATGTGTTAACTATATCTTATGAGTTATTTAAAAGCCCTAAATATAAGCATGTCTCATATTTAGGATAAACTGGATTATGCACTTTCCCCGCAGCAGCTCACACTATGTCCTCCGCTATTTTTGCAGATGTGCTCGTATCCAACTACTGTATATCGATATAGGTGGTATTGCCTCATACCATATCGTTTATAAAAAATATATCGATATATCGTACTGTACAAACTCGATATACCGCCCAGCCCTAGTATTTTTTTTCCATACTATGGAAGTCAATGGCTACCATCAATAGTTTGTTTACCAACTTGGAGTAAATGATGACAGAATTTTCATTTTTGGGTGAACTATCCCTTTAAACATCAGGCTCAAAAGTAAGCCAGTCATGAAATGATATAAGATTGAGGAAATTACAGATTTTTCATTTTTAAGGTGAACTATCCCTTTAAAGATTCCACTGAATATATATCTCCAGTAAATGCAACCGATTCTATTTGAGAAATATGCTTCATTATTATACCGAATAGGGCATAGGGCTTCCTGTGACTTCCCTTAAAATGATGTCAGTTGTCAAAGAGAAAGTGAAAGAGGACAAACAAGAATGTTTAGCAAGATAGTGTTTTACGTCAGGAATTGAGCATGCAGTTAATGCTGGTGGTACCAAATGCATGACCTGAGCAGGCACAGTTTAATTAATTAGATCCTGAGCTGTTGTCTAATCCATCTTAATGCTATTAAAGCAAGCGGGAGGCCAGCGCAGCGGCACAAACTGTACATGCTACTTTTGACAGGTTCCCTCTTTAATACATTACAATCATATCAGAATTATATTAAACCTGTATGGCGCGGTTCCTGAAGCTTAAATCAGTGCTTAAACAAGATGTTGTGAAACAGAATGAACTTTCTAATGGACCTTAGTCTGAGAGTAGATGCCATTTTTCTCCAGGCAAGAACACAAATGAAAATAAGGCTGTGAGGGACAGAAGAACAAGTAATTCTAATTAGTTTTGAGTACCTTAGTGTCAATTCAATGATTTCTATTTCAACTTTTCATTCATCTTGAAAAAGATATTTGGAAAAAAAAATGTATCATTGTTTACACAAAAATATTAAGCAGGACAACTGTTTCAACACTAATGATAATAAAAAAATTTGAGCAGCAAATCAGCATATTAGAATGATTTCTGAAGAATCATATGACTGGTGTAATGGCTGCTGAAAATTCAGCTTTGCCATCACAGGAATAAATTCCATTTAAATTAGAAACAGAAATTAAAAAAATGAAAACAGTTATTTTAAATAATAAAAAATGTAAATAAATAAATATATATTATGTTACCCTTTTTACTGCATCTTTAATTAAATAAGCCCAGCCTTGGTGACCATAAGTGACTTCTTTCAAAACCATTAATAAAATCTTACCACCCAAACTTTTGTATGGTAGTGTAAGTGAATATATAAATACATAATACCTTAAAATTAATTTAATACCTAAAAATATAAATATTAAATTTGTATAATATTAAACATTAAATACATTACATAAGTAATATATATTTTTATCAGCATTACAAATATTAAATATTTAGGTTTTAACTTTTTAATGATTTTTATCATGAATAGGAGTTTGTCTGATGTAAGTAATTGTCTAATTTGAATTATTTACATATATATCAGTACATATCGGTCAACCACTACTCACAGCTTTGTTTCCATTCATGCCAAAATAAATATGCCATTTACTTTGGCTAAAGTCTGTGCAAATCTCATGCTAGCAAGGGAATCACTTCACAGACTATGAATGCCATAATTGTAAGATGTAGGTCAGATGTCCCCTCACACTAGGCACAAGTCACTTTAAGAATGAGTTCTTGTGAGTTCGAGACATTTCTTGCCTTACTCTTCTGGCAAAGCACTGTTACCAGACACCTAGTGCCTCCTTTCCAACACGCACAAGCTTCCAGAACACATGCAGAAGGAAACATACCGCTGACCCACGGGAGAGCCCTCAGAGAGGAAGGGGGGCAGTTTAAGGTCAAAAACCTCAATGAACTCAGCCAGAGAGTGAAATGAGCTTGAGGCGGAGGGATGGTTTTAATCATTGTGCTTTAAAACACACCCAAAGTAATGAATGAAAACAACAGCAGACATTTACTGTACACCTCCATGTGCCAAAACACCAGATGGTATGCTTGAGGATAAAACAGCACACACACAAAAAAACAAGGCATATGATTATGAGGGGTAAATAAAAGTCAGGGTTATGTGAACGAAGGAAGTGGCTTACTTTCAAGTTCCTCTTTTTCAAAGTTTGTGTGGATGGTAGAGCTGGTTTTCCCCTGATCAACAACAGCTTCCTCATCATTGCCCTGAATAGAGAGAGATAAAGAAGGATACATTTATGTCACACCAGAGTAAACAAACAATCCCTGGCAACACAAGAGGGTGCCATTCCAGTTACTGCTTCTTCTGGCTATAATTGAGAATTGTGCAAGAGTTTATACCATAAGTGGGCTTCAGACTTTTGTTTTTGACAATGCGCTCCTTGGCACAAAACTGAAGTAAACAGGTCACAGAATAAACAACTAAGAGTTCATTTTGTGTCAAATGAACCAAAACTCGAACAACACTACTACCTCAGCCAACATGAACATAGTAGCTCAGAACCAAAATACAAACTGCATATCCACAAAAATATAAAGATAAATAGTGATTCTTGCTCAGGCAATGATAACCACTAATATTGCTAATCGGAACAAACCTCTAACCTAAAATATTAAACTTTGCATGAACTATAACTCATCCTGTAACTGTAGCCAAATTAAATAACTTTAGCTCAACCATTAGACAGCCCATTACAACGAGTACGTTTACATGGACAACAATAATCCGATATTAACACGATTAAGACAATACTCTGATTAAGAATCTACCATGTAAACAGAGATTTTTGATTACCTTAATCCGGCTAAAGTCACACTCGAAGTAAACACAAATCTAATTATGACATGTGGAGTATTCCTATTTTAGTCGCATATTGAAGTGCAGTATAGACATGTACACACCATAATCACACTATTACCGTTGTGTATGACTTTTCGCCGCATTTTGCAACAGGATACACACACAACAGTGGTCAACCATTTAACAGCAAACAAAAGAGCATGGCTTCAAGCAAGAAGGCACATTTTTATCCGTCGTCGTCTGTTTGCACGTATAGCATGATATATAATTAACTGCACTTGAAGCTTTCGTAAAATTAAAAATGAAACACCCAAAACTGTATAGTACCAAAGACGAACTGTATGTTGATACGTGAAATTCTGGAGGGAACGTTGGATGGCGTCTGCCATTAATCGATCTATGTAACTATAACATGTAAAGCGGGAACCTGAAAGGAATATTCTAAAAGAAACTCATGTAAACACCTTAATCATAATATTGTCTTATTCAGAATACGGTAAATAATTAGATTACTTATGTCCATGTAAACATACTCAGTGATGAATATAATGAATGATAATATAATATATAACATAACAGTAGTAGTTCTCATAGCAATATTAATAATAATCACATTTAATCTTCATTTGTGCATTCCTTTTTATGATTTATTGTAATGATCATGTACTTATTATTGTATCAAAAAAGCTGAAAAAGGTTTCTGCTTATCAGTTATTGGACACTTACATTTAAATATGAAAATATGATGTATTGCCATCAGTCACCATTCAAAACTTCTTCAGGAAGTTTAAAAAATCTAGTATTTTTTTAACCTGTGCCCATAATAGCACGTCTCTAAAATAAGATGTGCTTTAAAAATCTATTATCATCTAACAGCTGCTGTCTTTTGGCACCTGTCTTGTGTGCAGGGAAGCAGGATCTGAAAAGCAGTGGGGAAACATTAAAGCAAGAGTCTTTGAAAAATAATAATTATATACTATAAAGTGAGGAGGACATGTGCCCCCTTAAATGATAATGGTTTCTATATCCTTGCTTATCGATGCTCCGTCATGAGGATCTAGGACACAGGACACTTCAATAATGTATAATTTTGTCTAAGACATGGCTTAGACTATACTTCTTTAAATGCATGCTGCAGATGTCCACTTCCAGTCTATAATATGTCTACTGCACGATATTTTCCAACCACTTCGGTTTAATAGGTTGAGTGAGTCCCATTTGGAGACAATATAAACGAGTGACTAATTGTTATATGCTGCTCACTCACTTTTATACAAAGACAATGAGCTTTAATTGGGCCCAAACAAAGTTAACTCCACGTCCTCCATTATCGGGACCAAGCCACAATCTATGGGCACCATGATTATTGTGAAATGAGGAACATTTTCCACTTGCATGCTAGAGTGCACTTGGGACACAAGAGAACGCACCAGTTAACGTTGTCCTGAATTTCCCAAGAGATCTCTGCATGTCAGTGAGAACAATTTGGTGGTCGCTGTAGAAGGAGCTGGTGTATTAGAGACGGTGATAATGTGACATTTTCCCAGATGTGACCCAGGGTATTCTCAGGACTATGCCTGAGTCCCTCTACTGCATATTTGTTTAAGTTTCCCAGACAATAACCCAATTCCCACAATTCCCTACCACTGCTAATGCACGGGCCAAGTCTCCAAACAGAACACTGCATAGATCTGTGAGAAAACAATGTAACCTCTTCCATTCCTTTGACACCACTTAAAAAAATAAATAAATGTAACTTTTCAAAACCATATAAACAACTAGTTAACCAATCTGGACTGTCTAATAGGAACAAATCACCTAAAAACAAAAAATTGCTTAAAATTAATGAATGTAAGCCTGTAGTCGATGAACAATAATATTATTATCATGCATTAAGAAAATACATATGGTGACTTTTCATTTTATGACTTTTTCCAAGAAAGAAATCTATGCAAACGGTCTAAAAATTAAAGCACAGAACGATGTCAGTATGTTAAAGCATATCTAAACTAAATTTCTAAGAATAATTTAGATAAATTAATCAACCTTACTAATCGACTGGTTGGCTGTTGGATGACTATTCGACTATAATTGCACATTCCTGCTTAGAACTATAAAACAAACAATAGACACAAGTATGCCCTCTGGGCAGCTGCATGACAAGGATGATGTAACCATAGTCAGATCACATTTACAGCTATTCTTACCCCTGAAACTATTTCAGACCACATTTTTCTGAGCTCACTCAAAAGGAGCACAGTGTAAAAATAAATCAAGCCATAACTAACCGATATTGCATAATATGTTGGCCATCATGATGAGAAAGTGTAGTACAGTAGTGCCAGGGCTGCCACACGTCATGAAACATTTCGTGAGGTTACCTTAAAATACCTGTAAGCGGAACAGCTCTTAGAAAACATCATGACAAGATTTTCAAGAATGTACACCTGCAGAATGTCCACATAGGCATCCAGAATTTTTTTTTTTTTTTCAAACATTATTTCCTAAGCAAGTTATTACAAGTACTGAACCTGATACAGGGCTGGGCGGTATATCGAGTTTGTATGATATATTTTTTAATAGACAATATGGTATTATCAATAATACAGCCTATATCGATATACAGTAGTTTGATACTTACATTTCACAAGTATTCTCCATCTGTGAATGTTAGAAAGTAATGGAAATATTTCCATTTTGCTGTCAGGAGCCTTTTGCATGCGATTCTCCACTAAACTTCACAGACTTCAGTGAACGAGCACTGCCGCGTGCATGCACGCCAAACAGACGGAGCGCAATAGAATAGGAGTGCAATAATTGTTTCATATGTAGAATTTTAAACCTACAATAAGTGTATTTATTGATAGCAGATGTCTGTAATGGGGTAATCAAAAATAAAATGCAATTAATCTGTGCTCTTGTTTATTTACTTTCATTTTTAGTTTAGTGAATTAAACTTCTGCCTTAAAAAGCGTTATTTTTGTTTTTAGATTGTAATGTTACAATGTTACAATGTAATGTGATTTTAGCCCCTTTTTTTGCACATAATGGTTAGCATAGCCTACTTTCACTATATTTGTTTTCATTGCCTTTAATATAAACATTTTTTATTGGACAAATTTTGGCAGGATGTTAAAGGAATATATATATATATATATATATATATATATATATATATAAAATATAGAGAATACCGAGATACATGCCGTATATCGCATATCAGCCAAAAAATAATCAAGATTTTTTTGGCCATATCGCCCAGCCCTACTGAACCATCAATTCACCTCTATTCTGAGAGCTTAATATTCAGTAATATTGATTTGACTGTACTGTGGACACTGTGGATGTTTACACAATGGAACAGTGGTACTTTACACAGTTATTGAATTGAACTGAACTGAACCAACATTGAACTGAGTGGAGCTGAATAATGGCACTATTGTCTTTTTAGAGTTGCTTTGTAGCATAATTGGGATTTGCCTTATTGATGAAGTTTGCATAGCTGATTCTGTTACTTTCCTGTTTAACACTGTGAAGCTGCTTTGAAATCTCTGCTGTATAAAGCATTATATAAATAAAGGTGACATGAAATCTACATGTGACCCTGGACCACAAAACCAGTCTTAAGTCGCTTGGGTATATTTTTTAGCAATAGCCAAAAAAACATTGTATGGGTCAAAATGATAAATTTTTCTTTTATGCCACAAATCATTAGGATATTAAGTAAAGATCATGCAACTAACAAGTAGGATCGAGAACCAGTCTAAATTTCCAAAAAATGGGTATTCGATAAGACACGTGCATTTTGTTTCCACTTAACGATTCCTGCATTCGCATTTTAATGTGATTTTAAACTATTTAAGTGCAGGAATGGAAAGAACTTGCACACTGTTTGCATGCAGCGCACACATCTGAAGGGCGAGCACAGAGAATAGTGGTCCCGATGCAGGTTCCCGACCTGTGTCCGTTCTCGAACTGTTCCGTGCATTTCCACAAAGGTTGTTCCGGGCCAGAACTGACTTCTCTTTCACATTTATCGACCAGTATGCACAAAATATGTTGGTATATCATTATAAACACAGCCATTTTTTGTCTTAAGTGAACGTAAACAGATTTTATTTTTAGATCTGTGTGTGTTCGGTGTTAAAGAGACAGCCGTCTAATAAACGTGCTGCCTATCATTAATGTTAATCAAAAGAACAAAAGAAAATCATTAACTGACTGAATATCTTTTGTAAATTTAATGAGGATTAATCAATATTTTATTAATGAAAACTATACAGTGTTTTTAAACTTTTGATTTCAATTTCTGTACCTGACATTTGTTCAGTTTTATTTATTTATGCTATTGCTAATTAATTAGTTTACTTTACAACAATAAAGTACATTGTTTACAACAATTTAATGTTTGAAATTTATATTAGTCTAGTTGTTTTTTTCTGTGGTATTTTTTTGATCATCTAAATATTTGACTTAAAATTTGTTTAATTTTTATTTTAATCTTATTGGAATCGGAATTAGGAATCGATAAGCAGAATCAGAACCGGAATCGGAATCGATCAAATTCAAACGATACCCAACCCTATCCATGAAGATATTTTGTAAATTTCCTACCATAAATATATCAAAACTTAATTTTTGATTAGTAATATGCATTGTTAAGAACTTAATTTGGACAACTTTAAAGGCGATTTTCTCAGTATTTTGATTTTTTTGCACCCTCAGATTCCAGATTTTCAAATATTGTCCTATCCTAACAAACCATACATCAATGGAAAGCTTATTTATTCAGCTTTCAGATGATGTATAAATCTCAATTTCAAAAAATTGACCCTTATGACTGGTTTTGTGGTCCAGGGTCACATATTTACTATTTCGGCTACCTAAAGTGACTTGAAAATGTATTAAAATTTATACAGTGTGGTCTGTGAACACTAGTGAAAACAATTCTATGTTGCAATTTTCTAATTTTAGCATTTTTCCCATTTCAAATGTTATTATTACCACAAATTAGGTGCAAATCTAACTGAATTTTAAAAAGTAACATCAATTTCATATCTATGTATCCATCTATACTAGGGGTGCAATGGTTCAACTTACTCGCAGTTCGGTTTGTATCACGGTTTTAGAGTCACGTTTCGGTACGGTTCGGTATGTGCTATATTTAGGGAAAAAACTATTGTCAAATAAAAATAAAGAAAATAAGAACAAATAATCTAACTACAAGCAACAGCACAAATAAATAAACAGTGAAAAAAGATACAAATAAAATAAACAGTGCTTTTCAGTTTTTTTTAGGTAGGTCTAACTAGGGCTGTGACGATAACCGCGTTACCGCGGTAATTAGATGCCGACCGCGATGTTGAGGTCTTCACCGACATCACAGCACTTTTTTTTTTTTTTTTTTAAATAAAGCAGCAGGACTTGCCGATTCACTTAAGCGGCCCAGTAGTTTAACAATGATGTTCCTGATGTTCCCTTATGTTGCACTTTGAAAAACCCAAATCAGATTCAAACACTTTTATGTTCCACTTTAAAAAATGTTGTTATAAATGTAGCCTTATTAAGTTAAATAATATTAATGATAATTTACTGTTAATTGATTAAAAACTGTTCCATAATTCCTATTAAACTCAAAAGATATCAAAAAACAAAGTTGAAATAAATGTAATTTTATTATTATTTTTAATATAATTTGCTGTTTTAATAATATAGAAGACTGCTTTATTATTATTCATTTCCATGTTCATTTACAAGCTGCATGCGTTCTTAAATCATTATATTTCCGCGGCGGGAGGGGGAGGGGGGGGGCGATTAACCGCCAAACGGGGTTGCGATTAACCGCGGTGATTTGTTGCGTCTTCACCGCGTTAAGAAAAATCCCATACCGTCACAGCCCTAGGTCTAACATAGTTTTACAGAAATTGAATAAATTAAATGTAAAATAACATTGCATATTTGACTGTATAAATTAGATTAATCCTTATTAAAGTTACAAAAGTTATTCAATCAAAAGCAGTGAGAGATTTCCATGTTGTTGCTGTTTGATTAACATTAAGAAAGTGCTGTCACTTTAAGAGAACGCACTGATCCAGTGCTCCAATACTGTACATTCAGCCAGCTATGTCTGCTAGGATACTGACATCATTTTTGTGTGAATTTGTCCATTCAAACACAATACTTCACAGAGAGCTTAATATTTGCGCGCGTTCTGAGACGCGGGTTCACGCGCTTCGGATGAGTGACCACACAGATCTTCTCACTGCACGCGCGAGTTCATGTCTTCTGGCACTTTAATATTTAAACTGGCAAGGCTTAAATGAGTTTAGTTTAAACACAGATAGCAACGTGTGCTGTTCAGGTCTCACCTGCGCTATCAACACGTGATGATGGCATACATAACAGTTATTCCAACATACAGCACTCGCATTGAACAAAGAGTGACTGGTTTGTCCACGTATTGTTTTTTTCTCTCTCTCATCGCTCTTGTTGTAATGTATTGGGAAGCCAGAATTTGTATCCATCAACAGAAACATGCATTAGCTGAACTCTAACAAACCATATTACAGATGCATTGTCAGATTTAAGTTGAACCGCGGTCCTAGTGTATGCCGAACCGTGTATGGAGAACGGTACGGTTCGATTTTTTACCGAGAACCGTTGCACCCCTAATCTATACATTATATACATATCTGTATGCATCTATATACATTATACTGTCAAATGACTAATTTCAATTAATCTCATCAAAAAAGTTTGTGTTTACATAATATATGTGTGTACTGTGTATATTTATTATGTTTATATATAATTACACACACACACGTATATATTTAAGGAAAAAATTATATTTATATATAAAATATTCATATTTACATCTAAATTATAATTATATATATATATATATATATATACACACACACAATTTTTTTTTAATATATACATGTGTATACATGTGTATGTGTGTGTGTGTATTTATATATACATAAATATACACAGTACACAAACACATATTATCTAAACACAAACTTTTATTTCAGATGCGATTAATTGTTTGACAGCTCAAATATATATTTATAGATATAAATGCATACACACATACATTTCTAGCTATATGCATATATGCAGCATTGCAGCAAGACTATATGCAATGAGATGTGAGATGAGTATGTTCTCTTCCAGTACATTCACAGAGTCACATGTATTAAAAAAAAAAAAACAAGGTGGCCCTGTCCCACCACGGGCCTCTGTCCAAGCATTCCTGAGTTGCGTGGCATCAGATATCACCCCAAAGGGCAAAACGCAGCAAAGGGTACAATGTGGACTTGCCTCTTTTCAATGAAACGCCATCAAATGTCACTCATGTCAATTAAATTTCATACTAAATACACTATACTGTGTTCAGGCAATATTTTGAAACCAAACACACCAAGCAAAAACTAACACCAAGCCAAAGCATATTCAATGAGATATGCAGAATCTGAATCATGCACCAAGCTCAAGAAAAACTGCATAAGGTCATTAGATACACAAGAGTGAGCCCAAAAACATACCAAGAATCTCGTAGCTCCTCTGGTGGTCCTTAGATTCACGACCTCTCCCCAGAAGTCTTGCATCATTCACAGACCCTGGGGAGGGACTTTGAAACTTCGAGAAAATCAAACAGCACTTAAGACCACAAGAGCTTCAATGATGCAGGTCCGGAAATACTGATCTTTCAGCTAGCGCATAAAAAGAGTCCGCTACTAAAGCTAAAGATGAAAAACAATCAAAGATCAACCTGAAGCGTTAAATATAATTTAACTAAAATCAAAAAGACTAACAAGCTACAAACAGGATCTGTGGAAGAGATAGTGTCCACACACTTCCTTAAAGCAGCAGTCTACTTCTACCAAGATCAGAAGCAAAAGCGTCTATGTCACACTGACTAGGAAGCAGAAGTGAGAGAGAATGCTGCAAGACGCTGCCAGTGCACGCTTCTCATGCTGACGTCGGACGGGTCTCACTCCTGTTTGCAAAGACCTAAACATGAGGAGTTATTTATATCGGAGTGTGAGGGTGTGTTATTGTGAGTGAGCATGTGTTTTTCCACGAGTAGGGGTGAGTGCTTGAGCTATACATGGCCTGAGCACTGGGAAGCTGCCCGCGACAGTGTGCCATTGCCCTGAGGTGTTAAAGGGCATTCAGGGTTTGAAGCATAAAGCAATATCACAGGCTACTACCAAAGCTAAGATAATCATATTATAATCCACGAATGTGTCTACACTGCACAAAGAATCTCTTATTTACAGTGTCTTCGCTTTTTTGATTATTATGGGAGTGTTCTATTTTTGTTGCATTGCTTACACTGTAAACTATACTGGAAGTTACATCATCAATATTGCAAGCAAATGATGTGATAAGTAGCAAATATAAAATCAGATTTGTTCAGACTAATTTAAATGTCCCTTACCCACCACTGCACTTACTCACCATTGTACTTACTCATCATTGCATTGTTTTTAAAAAACACCTTAAAGGCATGGTTCACCCAAAATTTACAATTCCGGCATAATTTACTCACCCTCATGTTGTTCCAAACCTGAATGATAATGTTCAACACAAAAGAAGATATTTTGAAGATTGATGGCAATTAAACAGTTGCTGGTAGCCATTGACTTTTTTTCCGGAAGTCAATTTGCTATGAGCAACTGTTTGGTTTCCAACATTCTTCAAATTATCTTCTTTTGTGCTCAACAGAAGAAAGAAACTCATACAGGTTTGGAACAACTTGAGGGTGAGTCTTAATGACAGAATGTTTTGTCATTTTTAGGTGAACTATCCCTTTAAGCTAACTAAATGAATGTGGCAAAAATGTTAGAGAGAGTAAAATATAGGGCTGCACGATAAATCGCATGCGATATTTAATGTCAGAAAGCCGGTTCTTTAATCAGGGGTAAATCTCCATCACCTGCGGGCTTTCACATTGAGCAGCATTAACTACACAGAGCCGTTGTTCACTGATGAACGTGGTTTGGCGCAGCTCGTCAGTGCACAACGGCTCGGTGTAGTTAATGCTGCTCAATGTGAAAGCACGCAGGTGATGGAGATTTACCGCTGATTACAGAACCGGCTTTACTGATAAGATGCGCGTTAAATATCGCATGCGATTTATCGTACAACCCTAGTAAAATATAATTTATATTTCTTTCACTAACGGTCCCTAATAGTGTTGGGCGATATGCTCATATCGTCGTATCGTCAGCCTGTGAGATCGCCGATACATAATATTATAATGCTAATTTAATTATTCACTTACTTAAGATTCATAGCCGGAGAGTGAACCATCTCCAGGGTAAGGCTAAAAGCAGCCTAATGTTACTGTAATCTATTAACTACAGATTATATCTTTTTAGTCAAGAAGCGTACGGATGTCATGTCATCAAATATTTTAATATCTGAATTTGTATTTAACATGATAACAATTTAATAGAAACATTGTAAGGTACTAATTATAATGCTTACATTTAATCAAAATCATTTTCTTAGATAAGCTCATAAAAACATAAAACAGACTAATACTACTAAGCATTGGCAAACAGACATTGCACTGCTGAACAGTCTCAACCCCTCATCTAGATTAACAAAATATTTTACAATGCAAAACGTGCAACAACAAAACCCACCTCTGAAGAAATGCTTTGACTGTTTTTACATGTGATCAGATATTTTGTCATTTATAAAAATCCCACCCATTTATGAAATATTTTGCAGCTATTTATGAATGCATTACTGAAGTAACATTTACTATTGTAAATCATTTTCTCAGATAAGCTCATGAAAATATAAAACAGATAAGCTAATACTAAGCATTGGCAAACAGACTTTGCACTGCTGAACAAACCCTCATCTAATATTAATGAAATATTTACATCACAAAAATGCACAACAACAAAACCCACCTCTGAATAAATTTTTTATTTTTTTTTACAAGTGATTACAGATTTTGTCATTTATAAAAATCCATATAAAAATCTCACTCCTTCTGTGCTCATTTATTAAATATGTTGGTTAATTATTTTGGTTCTGTGCACATTTATTAAATACTTTGGTTAATTATTATGGTTCTATGCTCATGGATTAAATATTTTGCAGCCATTTATGAAAATAAAACTGAAGTAACATACTTTTGTAAATCATTTTCTCAGATAAAATCATAAAAACATAAAACAGATTATGCTAATACTAAGCACTGGCAAATAGCTAGACTTTGCACTGCTGAACAAATGCTCATCTAATGAAATATTTACAACACAATAATAAAACCCACCTCTGAAGAAATGCTTTGACTGTGATTAGAGATTTTGTCATTTACAAAAATCTATATAAAAATGCCACCCCTTCTGTGATTGAATAAATATTTGTGGTACAGATAAAACTGCAGTATTCTCAGCTCCATTTAAATCCATTCTGCAGATTCGCCCTCAAAATAAAATGTTTCCAAATTCCCTCTATATAGGGACAGACATTGTGCCAACATTACGCCTGATCAATACTGAGTTAATGAATTGCATTTTCAAAGAATCACTTTCAACAGATGTCAACAAGTGGGACTGGAAAGACTTGTTGTGAATTAGTTGTAGCAGAGCAACTGTGTTGACTACTGCACGCAGACAGGTCACAGCGCCTCCTACTACTGTCCCAACTACTCTAAACCTGCTGAGCTTACAGCTGTGCCCTCTGTGGCTTTATCAACAGCATTGTCTGCTGGGTCCCAGCACCCCCGAGAGCTGCTGATCCTCCAGCCAGAGAACAATGACAAACTTCCAGTCTAATCTTCCATCTGAACAAGTGATGTAACGTTATGATACCGCACACTCAACTAACCATGAAATCTTTCCTCATCGCCAATATCCCGACAGAGTCACGACAGAGAACAGAGGACAGAGGATCATCATTTTCCTGAAGACACCTGAGTGATGGATAGCAGTGAAGTAAGCAACAGGTGGAAATCAAAACAAGGCTCGTTACGTACCAGGAACTGGCCATTTGCAACATTTTCAGATAAATAGAAAGCTAACTCTGTTTAGTATCATCTAAACATTATACATATTTATGCAAAAACCCACCTTTTCCTCATCTGAATTCCAGTCTCAGACTCAGATTTGCCATTTGGACCTTAAACAGTATTGCATAATTAATATTGACAACATACACTGTTAACATTTTTTGAAGCTGTAAATTAATCAAAGATTAATAGAGTAGGTTTTACAAGAAAATGCCATGTCACTTTTCTGCTTCCAAATTTCATATTTAATTCAATGTTAGTTGCCGTGTCTTTGTAATTAATAGTGAAATTTACTAGCAACTTTCTACACCATTTTTAAGTGTACCTGCACCAACAGGTATGAAAGCTTATTTTGCCACAGAATAAAAAATAGAAATCAATTAATATGGTATTTGCGACTTTTTAATTCAGAATTCAGACTTTTTTTCAGAATTCAGTCTAACAATTATGACTTTTTTACTCTGAATTCTGAATTTGTCACGCAATTTTGACTTTTTTCTCGGAAGTCTGAGTTTATCTCATAATTCTGTTTTTGTTTTTTTTTGCCACAGAATTAAAAAATATATACTGTATATATTAAAGGTGGGATAAGTGATTTCTGGTAGCCAATTTTGACATTTGAAATCACCAAAACAAACATGCCCCTACCCCAAAAGGGTCTCGCCCCTATTTTGATAGCTCCGCCCCACACATATGTACGCAACCCAGGCAACGATTAGTTCTGTGAAACAAAGCAAAACCAACGTTACACTGTGTCTACACCAGACACGAGAAATAGAAATAAATTAATATGGTATTTGCGACTTTTTAATTCAGAATTCAGAATTCAGTCTAACAATTATGACTTTTTTACTCTGAATTCTGAATTTGTCACGCAATTTTGACTTTTTTCTCAGAAGTCTGAGTTTATCTCATAATTCTGTTTTTGTTTTTTTTTGCCACAGAATTAAAAAATATATACTGTATATATTAAAGGTGGGATAAGTGATTTCTGGTAGCCAATTTTGACATTTGAAATCACCAAAACTAACATGCCCCTTCCCCAAAAGGGTCTCGCCCCTATTTTGATAGCTCCGCCCCACACATATGTACGCAACCCAGGCAACGATTAGTTCTGTGAAACAAAGCAAAACCAACGTTACACTGTGTCTACACCAGACACGAGTCGCGTGGTGCGACAAAATACTATAGAACTCATTATAATCAGTGATGCTGTCTACACCATAGATATATATACATGACACGACAAATCCCGACAGAAAACTGCTGCTGCGTTCTATTCATTACGTATTGACACAAATTTAAAATGTTTTTCAATGGTCGCTTTGTCGCATCCAGTGTACTAGACAGACTTTAGCTGTTGCGGCGCAGACACGGTGTTACTCACCTATCGAGAAGAAACAAAGCAACCTCTGTGTCCGATTGCAGACCTTCCGCTCCTCGAGTTCTCTCCAGCGCTGGAAAGCTGATCCGATATTTACACGGGTCCTACTTCTTGCCTTAAGCCTTCTTTTGTTCCGCAGACGTCTTCCTCTTTTGTTTTTTTATCCGCTATCTCTATCTTTCTGTCGCTCGGCTCGGCTAATGTCCGTCCTGTGCACTGAACGCTCTCTCCTCCACATCAAGAGTAGACACGCCCCTTACTGCTGATTGGCTACACGTTTGTTTTGCTACTCGTCCTGAATCAGTTTTCTAAAGCGTTTTTGAAAAATCGCTTACCCCACCGTTAAAGGTAATTGTTACTTTTTTTCTCGCAATTGTGATTTTATCTCACAATATGACTTTTCTTCTCAGAACTGCAAATGTATATTCCACAATTCTTAGTTTATATCTCACAATTGTGAGTTTATTATATCTCAAAATTATT